AGCAGTGTCACCTCCCCACCCCAGCCCCATCCCAGCGCATTGCTGGCACCCCTGGGAAGCCTTTCCTGGTGTCCAAGTGGGATTGCACTGCTGAAGACGAGCCCTGCTGGGTGTCCCTTTGGTGGAGATGCCGCTTCCCACCGCTGTCCTCGAGGTTTTGCTCAGTGCCCTCCCCGGGTCACCCAGGCCAGAGAGCAGCAGCTCAGGGCATCAGAGAAGGTGGGGCTGGAGGTCTCCTTCTGCCTGGAGCAACTAGCCACCTGCGGAGTGGGTTTTCCCTTAAAAATGAACATGGAGGTGATGGCATGCAGGGACGTTGGTGCCCTGAGCGGTGTCCCCGCTGCCCAGGGAAGCAGAACTTGGGCATCACGTGCATGGCCGGGGCAGCTCCCCGCTCCCGAGGGCAGGACGGGCGCAAAGGGAACGTTCCCTTTTTCACTTCCTGTCCTTGCTGTTGTCCTGCCCTTGCTGCCTGCGTGCCTCCCCCTGCTCCCAATCCCTATTCCTGATGGGAATGGCCCTGTCCATCTGGGTGGCGGTGCTCCCAGCCCTGCAGTAGGAAGCTGCTGTAGCTTTGGGGTATGCATGCACCCATGAGTGTGCAGAGAAAGGTTTCCAGTGCAGGGTCTGCTCTGCTTCCAGTGCCTGTACATGTTGGCTGGGCCATTTCTGGGGCGCAGACCTCCTTGAGGCGCTGCCCGTGTCCCCATACCCCGTGTCCTTGTCCCCTGGTGCCCCGCGAGGGGCCGGGGCGCTGTGCCTGGGCAGGTTTGCATGCAGCATCCCCACACCGTGGCCTTGACGCGCTGTTTGAGTCCTGCTCCTCGAGCGTCACGCGGGGCCCCGCGCCGGCCGTGGGGACCGTGGGGCAGCGCCGTCCCCAGGGTCGCGCGGGAGGGAACGGCGCGTTCGGCACAGAAGTGTCCACTGCGGGCGCAGCTCCGCGTCGCGAGCTGGCACCGTGTCACTTCACATTACCACATACTTTCATGCTGCCTGTGTTGTAGGAATAATTTAAGGATCTTTTCTTGTCCGCTGTTGCAGCAGACTGGGCTCTTTCCTTGAACCGAGGATACCTCTGGGACCAGCGGTGCAAAACGCTTGCAGTGTTTCCCTCCCGTACTTTCTAGCCTTAAAAGTTTGCTCTTGTGGTCTCGGAATTCGGCGGGCGATGGGCTCGCTGGCCCCGTGCTGCTGCCAAAGACAACACGTCCCGGCGCCAGCGGAGCCGGGCCGGCTTCCCGGGGCTGGGGACCCCACGTCGGCTGCGGGGACAGGGGGGCAGCGGGGTGGATGCCCGTGCTGCAGTGCGGTGTCCGTGCGCTCGCGGGCCTGCGTGAGTGCGCGGCGCTGGGGTTGCACGCGCCGCGCGGGGCGAGCACGGCGCTGCCCCCAGCCTCCTTCCCAAAGCCAAACACGCTCTGTTGACTCAGGTGCCGGCGCTTTGCCGCCTGCTGCTTGTTTTATTGGTGCTTCGCTCCCAGCCTCTCCCCCCGGGAAGTCGCCTGCGGGGCGGTGGGGGGGTCCTGGCCCCGTTTCTGAGCGCTGCCTCATCCCCCTGCTGCCCTCCTCCTCCTCCCTGCTGCGTCCCCACTCAGGAATCCCGGAGGCTGAACTCAAAGTGGGAAATCTCAGCTAGGGCAGACAGAGCAACCGAGGTATTGGAGCCAGCAGGGAATCCCGATGGGGCGGAGGTTGCTTCACCCTCACTCCCTGCCTGCACCCGCCCTGGATTCCTGGGATGCCCCTGGCAGCCCTTATGGCCCTGGTTCTGCTCCCGCCTCCCCCCCGGTTTTGCTGCCTGCGGAGGGCTGTGCTCAGCTCGTGGTGGTGGGCATGGGCCGTGCATCGCCTTGGCACGCTGCAGACTTTCACTGATCGCACCCGCAGTTTCCATTTCCCCAGAAAGGTCCCTGCAGCGGATGGACACCACCCCGGAGAGACGTGGATGGGCTGGGAAAGAGGAACTAGCCACGGGTCACCACACGAGGGCCCGGGGCCAGCAGCATGCTCCGAACACGTGGCACACTCTGCTCCTGCTCCGTCTGCGATCCGGGGAGCCCTGGGACCCTGGAACTCGGGTGGCTGCAGGGGCAAGCTTGGAGCTGCTGGAAGTGCACGGGAGCACAGGCTGGGAGCTCCCGGAGAGCTTGCGGCCCCGAGGACGCGTCCACCAAGCAGGGATGGGGCTCCCATGCTGGCCCCACAGTGCTAGCCCCACAGCCGGTTACTCTGGGAATGTGGGTATCCAAAGGGCTCTGAAAGAGGGTCGAGAGGAGCCGCCAGCTTTGGCTGGGCTGGAGTGGGGTCTTGGTGCCGCAGAACCGGGTCAGTCCTGTTCCCCGGGGGAGCCTCCCGGTCCCACTCGCACACCCAGATGGGCTCCGCACTCCCTGCACCCAGGGCCGTACCTGGATCCTGCTCCGAAGCCCTGGAGATCAGCTGGCTTCTCTGGAGAGCAGAGCTTCCTCCTGGAGCCCAGGAAATCCGCCAAACCCTCCCTGTCAGACTGCTTATCCAGGAAGCTCTGCATCTCCCGGTGCTTTGCCATGGCCCCCTGAAAGCTGCCTGAGCCCTTTTTTTGTTGGGATGTGCTTCATGTAAAACTCTGCAGGGCCCGCTCTGCTGGGCCCTGGTGCACCGGTGCTGGAGCATCTCCCACCTCCTGCCAAACTCCTCTCTCCCAGAGGTCCCTCATAGGCTGGGCTGCCCGATGTGCCCCCGAGCCCCTCATGGGGCTTCCCTTGCCCCTTGCAAATCCGTGGGGAGAGCTGCAGCCCCCCGTGGCGCTGCCTCCACCTTGGTGCCACCAGAAAGAGCTGACGAGGCCGCGCACTTCCCAAAAGCGGCGGCAGAAGCCCCGAAGGGGAAGTGCTGCGTGCTTGGGACCTGCACCCCGCGCAGGGATAAATAGCGGCGCCGGGAGCACCGTCTGCAGCTCGGCGCTCCCGGAGGGCGGCAGCACCATTCCCCTCTGTGCAGGTACCGTTCCCGCATCTTGTGGGGCCCGGGAAGGAGGAGGAGGAGGCAGCAAAGGGCAGAGCTCTCCCCTTGTCCCCCTTGGGCTCTGCCAGCGATGCCTGTGGCACCACTGTCACCTGCTGGCACGGGAGTCCTTGCAGGGGCTTTGCTGGCCGTCCCCAGCCCACAGGGACAGGCGGGTGGCCGCTCAGGGTGCACAAATATGTGCATGAGCACGGGTGCATTGCAGACTGGTGTTTCACTAGGTGATAGCTTTTCCCCCTGCTTTCCAGCACATTGCACCTCATTACTCACTAGCCCATGTCATCGTGCCGTGCTGTGCACTACCGCTCTGCTAATGCTCCGTCGCGTTGCTGTGTGCATGCACGGATGAGCCCCCGCGCAAGGCGTTTGCTGAGATCCGCAGCTGCGAAGCCGCTGCTGCAAACCCCGGGGGTTCAATGTGGGGCTCCCTCGGCAGCTCCTGCATCCCAGCAGGACACGGTGCCTCCGCAGAGGCTCCGGTGGCATCGCAGCAGCCTGGCCAAGGGAAGCAGGGATGGAAGCAGCAGAAATGAAAGTGGGAGCGCGGAGTTGATCGGGAAAGGGCCAGGGTGTGCGCCGCACGCTTCCTTCCTCCCCAGCACCGCAGCTCCTGCTGCTGCTGGGGTTAAACCGGGACTGTGGGGTGGCTTCTCCCACGAGCCAGCATCTGCTAATGGCAAGGTTTGCCTTAAAAGGTCCCATCTCTTAGGGAATAAAGCCCAGTGGGAAGACTGCAGGAAGAATGAAAAAGTGTAGAAAAGACTCACCGAACATCAAAATCAATCCCTAACCTCCTCTCTTTTAAAGGGCAGGTAAAATAACAATGACCCCTTAATGCCATTAAGTTTATAGGTGTCTAGTGATCCTTGTGCTGCCAAAGTGGCACTTTTCTGCTGTGCAGTTTGTATGTTATCAGCTCAGACCTGACCTGTGATTTAAGCCAGGCTCGACTGGCTGCACTGGGTAATGCAGCGTTGGCGGAGTTTTTAAACAACCCCCTTTCCTCTGTGTTTTCCCCTGGGTTGAGGAGTGATGGGGCTGGTGCAATGGGGAGGAAAACTGGCCTTCACCCACTTGTCTCCCATTTCAAGGGCCTTCGTCTCTTCTTGCTGCTGAGACGTCCCTTGCTGGACGTGAACACGACAGCTCCCCAGGACCCGGTGCATCCCTGCTGGACTGCCATGCTCCACATCCCGCAGCTTGTCCTGCTGGCCGGTCTCATCCCCCACGGTATGGCCCCGCATTCCCTCCTGATTCCAGTGGCCTGGTGCTGGCTCTGCACCATTCCCCTCTGTGCGCCAGGCTCCATTGCCTGCCTGCCAGGCTTTTGCCAGACGTATCCCACTTTTCCTCCAGAGACTTGGTCCTGCAGGATCTCATCTTGCGCGCATCCTTCCCCTCTGCATCCAACGTGGTGCATCCATGGGTGTGCAGAGCTGAGAGTCGCACATGGTGACACCTATGGATGTGTCACCATGTGGTGGCCTCCACAGAGGCTCTGTTGTGCCCTGACTCCTTTCCTGTCCCTTCTGCTGCAGTCCTTGGCTCGTGGGGTGTCACCTACCCCGCATCCGTGCAGGGCCTGATGGGCTCCTGTGTGGTCGTGCCCTGCACCTTCAGCTACCCCAGTGACGTCTCGGCCAACACCGGCATCGTGGCCATCTGGTACAGGGACTACAATGGTGACAGGAAGGTGGTCTATCACTCGGAGTCCCCGGGAGAGGTGGACAGCAGGTTTGGGGGCCGCACCAGGCTCCTGGGGGACCTGGCTGCACACAACTGCACGCTGCTGCTCGCGGATGCGACGCCCCAGGACAGCGGCAGCTACCGGTTCCGCTTCGAGATCGTCGATGGGGACCGCTGGTCGGCCGCGCAGGACGTGCTGCTGGCCGTGGCGGGTGAGCGCCGCCGCGTGTCCGCCCGTCCGTCCGCC